GGGCGACAAATCGTTGGGTCGGGGGTCCCAAGAACACAGCCCAGAGGCCTGGGGATGTCGTGGAGAGCGGTGGTGGCCGGGTGGGGGCCAGGTGGGAGGTATGGGTCGTTCTTGGGCGAGAAATCGTAGGGTCGGGGGTCCCAAGAACAGAGCCCAGAGAACTGGGGATGTCGTGGGGGGGTGGTGGCCAGGTGGGGGCCAGGTGGGGGGTATGGGTCGTGTTTGGGCGAGAAATCGTAAGGTTCGGGGGGAGGGGTTCCTAGGACAATGCCCAGGAGGATGGGGATGTAATCGTTATAGGGGGGGGTCCCAAGAACAGAGACCAGAGGCCTGGGATGTCGTGGGGGGGGGGGGGGAGGTAAGGGCAGGTGGCGGGGTATGGGTTGTTTTTGGGCGAGAAATCGTAGGGTCGCGGGTCCCAAGAACAGAGCCCAGAGGCTTGGGGATGTCGTGGGGGGGTGCTGGCCAGGTGGGGGCCAGGTGGGGGGTATGGGTCGTTTTTGGGAGAGAAATCGTAGGGTCGAGGGTCCGAAGAACAGAGCCCAGAGGCCTGGGGATGTCGTGGGGGGGGTGGTGGCCAGGTGTGGGCCAGGTGGGGGGTATGGGTTGTTTTGGGGCGACAAATCGTAGGGTCCGGGGTCCCAAGAACAGAGCCCAGAGGCCTGGGGATGTCGTGGGGGGGTGGTGGCCAGGTGGGGGCGAGGTGGGGGGTATGGGTTGTTTTGTGGCGACAAATCGTAGGGTCCGGGGTTCCAAGAACAGAGCCCAGAGGCCTGGGGATGTCGTGGGGGGGTGGTGGCTAGGTGTGGGCCAGGTTGGGGGTATGGGTCGTTTTTGGCGCGAGAAAACGTAGGGTCGGGGGTCCCAAGAACAGAGCCCAGAGGCCTGGGGATGTCGTGAGGAGGTGGTGGCCAGGTGGGGGCCAGGTGGGGGGTATGGGTCGTTTTTGGCGACAAATCGTAGGGCCCGGGGGTCCCAAGAACACAGCCCAGAGGCCTGGGGATGTCGTGGGGGGGTGGTGGCCAGGTGTGGGCCAGGTGGGGGGCAGGTGAGGGGCGTTGGTCGTTTTTGAGCGAGAAGTCGTGGGGTTGGGGGTCCCAAGAACAGAGCCCAGAGGCCTGGGGGGGAGGGGGGCGTTGGTCGTTTTTGGGCGAGAAATCGTGGGGTCAGGGGTCCCAAGAACAGAGCCCAGAGGCTTGGGGGTGTCGGGGCCAGGTGGGGGCCAGGTGGGGGGCGTTGGTCGTTATTGGGCGAGAAATCGTGGCGTCAAGGGTCCCAAGAACAGAGCTCAGAGGCCTGGGAGTGTCGGGGCCAGGTGGGGGCCAGGTGAGGGGGGGGGGGGTGGCGTTGGTCGTTTTTGAGCGAGAACTCGTGGGGTCGGGGTTCCGAAGAACAGAGCCCAGAGGCTTGGGAGTGTCGGGGCCAGGTTGGGCCAGGTGCGAGGCCTTGGTCGTTGTTGGGCGAGAAATCGTGGGGTCGGGGACCCCAAGAACAGAGCCCAGAGGCTTGGGGGTGTCGGGGCCAGGTGGGGGCCAGGTGGGGGGCGTTGGTCGTTTTTGGGCGAGAAATCGTGGGGTGGGGGAGTCCCAAGAACAGAGCCCAGAGCCTTGGGGGTGTCGGGGCCAGGTGGAGGGGGGGGGGGACGTTGGTCGTTTTTGGGCGAGAAATCGTGGGGTCGGGGGTTCCAAGAACAGAGCCCAGAGGCTTGAGGGTGTCGGGGCCAGGTGGGGGCCGGGTGGGGGGAGGGGGGGGGGCGTGGGTAAGGGGGGGGGGGACGTTGGTCGTTTTTGGGCGAGAAATCGCGGGGTCGGGGGTTCCAAGAACAGAGCCCAGAGGCTTGAGGGTGTCGGGGCCAGGTGGGGGCCGGGTGGGGGGAGGGGGGGGGGCGTGGGTCGTGTTTGGGCGAGACATCGTGGGTTCGGGGGTCGGGGGCGTGGTGGGGAGTGCGGTTGGGGGTATCGGTCGGTTTTGGGCGAGAAGTGGTGTGGTGGGGGAAGGGGGGGCCCAAGAACAAAGGTTCCAAGGGAGAGAGCCAGGAGGGGGGTATCGGTCGGTGGCTGCTTGAAAGGAGAACCTCACGATGAATGGCTCTAGCACACACTCTCCCTCACACGCCTCTGGGGTCGGCGGATATAACGAGCCCGCCGCAGGCGCCAAATGTTTTGTTAAACCAATGTGGGTCGGTCGCGGGTGGGTCGCCAATTTGTCGCGGGTGGGTCGCGGGTGGGTCGCGGGCTGGGTCACGGGTGGGTCGCGGGTGGGTCGCAGGTGGGTCGCAAACGGGTCGTCGGTGGGTCGCGGGGGGATCGCGGAATGGATCGCGGGCGGGTCGCGGTTTGGGTCGCGGGCGGGGCGCGAGGTGGGTCGCGGGGTGGGTCGCGGGTTTGGTCGCGGGGTGGGTCGCGGGTGGGTCGCGGGTGGGACGACGACAACACACAACAACAGCAACAACCACAGCATTAACACCAACAACACCATCAACAACAACAATCGCAACAATTACCCCACCACCAGCAACAATACCAATGAACAGCGTAATCACCACGGATTGAACGTTCCGCCACGCACCCAGGAACTTTGCATGACCGTTATATATGTTTGTTTGTATGTATGTATGTATGTATGTTTGTATACGTGTATGTATATGTATACATATATTTGTTAGTTTTTATTGTAAAAACTATAAACAAACGTAAACACTTATGATACGTATATGTTTGTATGTGCGCGTATTCATGTACAAGCATATATGATGCATATATGTATGCGCGCGTGTGTGTGTGTGTGTGCGTGCGCCTATGCATTATTTTCACATGGTCCCGGCGGGGTCTGTCAATCTGTCGGTGTCTCTCTTTCCCTCTTCCTCTCCTTGAGACGCCACTGTGCGCGCGCCCTTGCAGGCGTGGTGGGCCCCTGCGACGCCTCACGGGGTGGAGGTCGGGCAGTGGATTGACAGGTCGACTTTGCAGCATCGAGGGCTCGGTCAGGACTTCACGAGCGTCGACTTCATACGTGTCCGTGCCCTCGCGGTCTGGATCTTGGGGCGCGGCCCCGCGGACACGCGGTTGCACGGGTACGGTCCGCGCGGGGGGCGCCGCGAAACCACGCCCCGTATCTTCTGGGGGCGCGCGGCCCGCGGGGCCGCGGGTACGGATATGCTTTCCCCCACGAGGGCGCAACAGGAAAAACCTTTTTGGGCTCGGTTGTGTCTGTGGGTTTTTGGGACGCTCCTCCGACGTAGGTCGGGGAACGTCTTCGTGGCCGAGAAAGTCGTGGGCAAAACAAACAACCCGTCGTTCCTTGATTTGCGTCCGTCGTGGTAGGATGATGGCTGTGAGGTTTCGTTGTCTCTCTTAAATATGGGGCACCGCTTGCCCTAATGAATACATGCGTTGTCTTTTTCGGGTATCTTCCAGAGTCGGTCCCGACCCCGAGTCGTCCGCGTCGGCAGCATGGTGAGAGGTGATGCCGTCGAGTCTGACTTCACCCGCGTCGGCGGTGGCGTCGTCGTCGGGTTGCGGCGTTGTTGTCGTCGTCATCGGCGGGCGGTGGGCGTTGTCGGCAGCGGCGGCAGGTGGCGGGCGGCGGGAGGAGCGGGAGTTTGCGTGAGGTCATCGAATCCGACTTCGCCCGCCTGGAGGCCGACACCAAGGCGGCCGAGGCCGCCGCGCAGAAGGAATACGACACGTTCATGACGGACTCGAAGGCCTTTGGGGCATTGTTCAGCTCTTTGGGCCCTCGGGGCGCTGTGCGACAAGAATAGATAGGGCCCGAACACCTCGATCCTCCGCTGCGCTGAGCGTCTTAGGCTCACGCCCGGGTGAGCCGAGGCCGCAGCGAAGGACCGAGTATCGAGGCCTTTAGGCATGGGTCGTTTCTGTTAATGGGCCCCTGGAGGTCTTGCGGGGACCTTACAGACCTCCGACGGGTTTCAAGGCGCCAGCAGCGGAGGATCGAGGACCGGGGCTTGTGAGTGTTGTCGGGCCCTTTGTGCATCTGCATCGCAGCTGGACGGACGCCTCCGGGAATCCAGTGGCCTCCATGGCAGGGGCCTCCGCGGGGATCTTCGGGGACAACTCCGCGAACCTCTGGAAGGGACCCTCGGCACTGGTGCCCGCGGCGCGGATTTTCGCGAAGGTCGAATGTCTTCTCGGGTCCCATTTCGGGCTTGGTAGTCTGGAGGCGACGGCCCACGGCGCGAAACGCATGCGGGGAGAACGGAGATCATTCCGGCCTGCACGTCTCGCGCGGTGCCAGAAGCCATGCTCGACCAGGAGGGAGACGACACTGCACAAGCATCACCGTTCGGAGGCCTGCGCGGCCTCTTCGGATCGGCGCACGGCGCCCTCCCACCCCCCCCGGCGAGTGGAGCGCGCCATGGGCGGCGCCGCAGGCGAATCCGGGGGGTCCATCGCAGACTCAAGAATTCCGCGCGCGCGAGCCTCCGGAAGTCCACGTCTATGCAGTTGCTTCTGACTCGGGGGTGGACAGACCTCCTTCCCTGACACGTCGATTAAGGAATTGGCCGTTTTCGGTTCGCGAGAGGGCGTCGCGGCCGTCATTTTTGTGGGTCCAGGTCCGTCGGTTTCGGTCCCAGGCCGTTTTCACTAAGGGGAGGTTTACTAAAGGGAGGTTTGTCCACTGCCGACTGTTCCTGCCAGCGCTGCCCAATGGTAATTTGGGAAGATGGAGGTCGGGTCGGAGAGGGTACCCTGATGTTCTCCGTGCTTGTAGGATGTTCCTGTGCGTCCCGGGGAGTGTTCCCTCGGATGTTTTGTATGCTCTGGCCGGTGGAGGGTCTCATGTTCTTGAAGGATGGTCGTCTGTCTTAGATCCGATTGTAGGGAAGGGAGGTGGGAGGGGGGAGGGAGGGAGTTGCGAGTTGCGAGGTATCCCACGTGGTGGTCGAAGCGAACTACGAGCAGCGCTGCTGCTCAGCCTTGTTGAGAAGCTTTGGACATCTACCTTCGATTCGTCTGGATAACTGCTCCTTCCTATGACGAGGAATCGGGTTCGCACACGTCACTCGAAGGGTGCTCTTCCGTCCTGGGTCCTGCACCCTCCGCCCTCCTGGGGGGGCCGATCGGCTCCGACGCTCAGTGTCGTTTCACCGATCCCTCATCCCCATCCCCATCCGCATCTCGAGCCCCACCGCCTCACCACCTCAGCTGGGGGCATGCCCCTCGAAACCCGAAGGGAGCAGCCTATCTCCCCATCCAGGGGGGTACATCGGCTAGTGGGGCCCAGCCCACGCTGGTGGGGATGGGGATCTGTTCAACGATTCTCAGACGCCCCTCTCGAGGGATCGTCGATGCGATGGGTTCCTCCTCGGGAGAAAGGGCCGCAGTGCCCCCCGCCATGCAAGCGCCTCTGCGCCCCCTCCGCCGCGCAGATCCGAGCGAGACCTCGCCGCCTCTTTCGCCACTTTCGAAGGCTGCTGGTGGGTCCAGCGTGGCGAGGCACCGCGCGGATCTGGGCGGGACCTCGCCTTCCTTTGGGGGGGCTGCGATGTGGGAAACTGTCGCCGTTTTCGCGGGCTGCTCGTGGGTCCAGCGGAGTGAGGCACCGCGCAGATCTGAGGTAGACCTCGCCGTCCCTGGGGGGCTGCGATGTGCGATCGCCACTTTCGAGGGCTGCAGGTGGGTCCAGCTGGGTGAGGCACGGTGCAGATCTGAGCCGGACCTCGCCGTCCTTGGGGGGTTGCGATCTGCGGGACTGTCGCCACTTTCGAGGGCTGCTGGTGGGTCCAGCAGAGTGAGGCACCACGCAGATCTGAGCTGGACCTCGCCGTCCCTGGGGGGCTCCAAGGCTCACGAATGCCGCTCGCAGAATTATTTGCGCCCATTTTTATACATATATATATATATATATAGAGTAAGACATGATATAAGCTATGAGTTCTAAGTTTTTTTTTTTTTGGGGGGGGGGGGGGGGGGGTATGTTTGAGGTGTTTTTAACTAGAGTTGTTCGCCCAAGATCCGCCTGTAGGGGGGCATGCCCGACCTAATACTAGGCCTCCTCCTCCTCGGAGTCGGAGTTAATGAAAGTCCTACCGATGGCGAGGAGGAGGAGGAGGACCAGAGGAACGCCTGGATTAGTCAACGCCGTCCCTCATTCCCTCCTCACACGCCCCTGCAAGTGTTTCTTTTCACTGCGAGAAGCGCCTCGTTGAAAGACGACAACCTCGGGCGACAGCCCCGTTTCGAAAAGCAACTGTTGTGCATCCTTCGGCGAGTTCGATTGGCTGCTATTTGATTTTGAACATCAAATTCATCGATAATCATGTCCAGAGGTAGCCCCATTTAGAAAAGGTATCGCCCCCCCCCTATCCGAGTACGTGTTGCACGGATTCCACGTATGGTTATCACATGTGGAGGTGTCTAGGGTGAGATCATTTGTTGTGTCAAAGTTTTCGCCCTCCATCCATGCAGTGTTCTATATTCAAGCTTCGTGGCTTTTACGTTTGATGACGTCTTAAAAAAGACCCACTTGTCCAACAGACGCCGGCCTCCATGCTTGTAGTTTATTGGCAAGCGTTTGGGACGACTTTGCGCGGCGCTCAGGCGAGAGTCCCGTTTCCTCATTCGTTGCTTCGCCGATCGGCGCGGGCCCTCGCACCCCCCCCCCTCCCCCTCCCTATGGAGTAGATCTTGGCTGTTCTTGGCCCCTGTTTCGAGCAGGTGGAGCCTCCCCCATCGGACGCACTGCTGCAAACAGTTGCCCTAAGCAGAGGTCCGGAGCCAGAGCCCCCCCACGCCTCCCCCCCTTCCGCCGCATATCGAAACGCCGAATATGAAAACGTTGACCTAACTGGTGCACGCTTTTTAGACGAGTGTGGGCGGTGCTACGGTGAGAGTCCCATTTTGAACATGACCCCCTCCATCCTTGTAGGTGCTGAGCATCTCAAGCTTCATGATCAGATATGGTGCGAACGTCTCAGGCGAAAAGCCCTGTCCGCTCTACCCACACGTCTGGGGCTGCGACAGCGACGAGTTCTCTATACGGAGAAGGGGCCGAAGAGGCGAAAGAGGAAGAGAGGGGGGGCGGACGAAGGGGCAACATAAACGATGCTGCTGCTGTTGCAGATAATGGGGATGATGATGGTGAGGGTGGTGGTCATGGTGATGATGATGCTGCTGATGCCGATGATGACGACGATGTTGTTGATGATGATGCTTGTAATGATGCTGCTGATGATGATGATCATGGTTGTGGTAGTGGTGGCACTGGTGGTGATGATGATGATGATGATGATGATGATGATGATGATGATGATGATGATGATGATGGCGGAGTTGGTGGTAGTGAGGATGGTGATTGTGATTATGACGACGGCACTGGCGATGATGATCTTGATGGTAGTGGTAGTACTTGTGGTGATGCTGCAGATGGTGATGATGATGACGATGATGATGATTCTGACGATGCATATGATGATAAGAGGATAATGTTAATGATGATTGTGGTTGTCATGATGCTGGTGATGCTGATGATGATGGTTGTGGTGATGCTGATGATGCTCAGCTGGATGATATTGGTGATGATGTTCATGATGATGATGCTACTTATATGATGCAGATGGTGACTATGATGATGCTGATGGTGCTGATGTTGATGGTGATGATGGTTACGATGTGGATAATGATGATGTGGATGCTGATTATGCTGATGAGGTTGATGACGATGATGATGCTGATGATGATGTTGATGATGCTGCTGATGGTGATGATGATGATGACGCCGATGGTGATGCTGAGGATACTGATCAGATTGATCATACTGATGTTGTTAACGATGCAGACGATTACGATGATGACGCAACTGCTGATGATGATGCTGATGATGATGATGCAGCTGATGATGATGCTGATGATTGATGATGATAATCATGATGCTGATGTTGATAATGCTGACGATGATGATGATGCTGACGATTATGGTGATGGTGATGATGATGGCGTTGATGATGCTGCTGCTGATGATGCTGATTATTCTGATGATGAGGATGAGGATGGTGAGGATGACCACGGCGAGGAGGAGAAGGAGGAGGAGGCGGGGGAGGAGGAGAAGGGGTAGGAGGAGGGTGGGGCGGGCGGACGGACGGACGCGGAAGATGACATCGGAGAGCGAGGATGATGATGGCCTTCCTGGTTCTGTTCCAAGCTTGTCTTCTGAAGGTCATCCAGCTTGGCATCAAGGGGGTGTCTGAGAGGTGTTTGGAGGCCGATAGGGGTTCAAGTAGGGGTTCCCGAGGGAGAAGGAGGAGATGACGGAGGAGGAGGAGGAAGAGGAGGAGGAAAAGGAGGAGGAGGATGTGGAGGGCCGAGGAACAACAGGGAAGATGCTGCGGATCGGACGTATGTAAGCGGGAGAGGGCATCGGAGGGATGTGGAGAGCAGGACAAGGAAGAGGAACTAGACGATTGATGAACAGTTGTGCGACTATGGTCCATGGTGACGATGGTGCTGGTGATGCTGATGGTGATGCTGATGCTGATGGTGATGGTGGTGATGATGATGATGACGGGGAGGATGAGGAGGAGAAGTAGCAGGCGGAGGCGGATGAAGGAGAGCAACCCCCGCGGCGGTGGTGGTCAGGATGATGATGACGATGATGCTGACTCTGGGGAGGAGGATGTGGACGTCGTCGTCGTCGCAGGATGCTTATGATGTCGGCGATGATGATGATGATGATGATGATGATGATGATGATGATGATGATGATGATGATGATGATGATGCTGATGATGATGATGATGATGATGATGCTGATGCTGATGATGATGGTGATGGTGATGGTGATGGTGATGGTGATGGTGATGGTGATGGTGATGATGGTGATGGTGATGGTGATGGTGATGGTGATGATGCTGATGCTGATGCTGATGCTGATGATGATGATGATGACGATGATGAGGAGGAGCCAAACCAGCGCCGCGCGGATGGGATGCCGCCCCCGCAGGTCGACAAGGAGGGCAAGGAAACGGACGTGGAGCACAAGACGGCCAAGAAGGGGGCCGAGGAGCAGGTCCGCGCCGCGGGATTGCTCTCCTTCTCCACCGCCGCCCTCCTCCTCCTCCTCCTTCTCCACCTCCGTCCTTCTCCTTCTCCTCTCTTCCTCATCCTCCTCCTCCGTCCTCTCACCTCCTTCTCCTCCCTCCTCCTCCTCCTCCTCCTCCTCCTCCTCCTCCTCCTCCTCCTCCTCCTCCCCCACCTCTCACCTCCGTCCTCTCCTCCTCCTCCTCCTCTCCTTATCCACCGCCGCCCTTCTCCTCCCCACTCCTCTGGGATCTCGGCTTTGCGTTTTGAGTTCCAGCGCGAGTTGTTCACAGTGTTGGCTGTGATTCGTGAGGGGTGTCTCTTGGGCTCCTGGTTCGTGCAAAGGGAGCGGGAGAGACATACATATATATATGTATATGCATATATAGATATATAGATCTCGGGAGAAAGTGGGAGAGCTATATATAGAGAAGGAGAGAGAGAGAGAGAGAGAGAGAGAGAGACTGAGACTGAGACAGAGAGAGAGAGAGAGAGAGAGAGAGAAAGAGAGATCTAGAGAAATATTGGTAGACAGAGAGAGAGAGAGAGAGAGAGAGAGAGAGAGAGAGAGAGAGAGAGAAAAGGAGACAGTGACTGAGAGAAAAAGAGAGGGCGCCAGTGGTCGAGGCCGAGGTGGCGAACTACACTCTCAAACTCTCGTGGTGTGACGGGGGGTGGGAGCAGTGGGATACTTTGCAGACGTCTTTAGAGCTGACCACACTGAAGGCCACCGTCCAAGAGGAGCTCGACCGCGCGAAGAAACACGAGGGAAGGGGGGCAAGAAGGGTGCGGCCACCCCCAATTTGGAACCGCGGCAGTCCATGGGTAAGTCAATGCATTTTTCTACGTCGTTTTCCCTGACGTCTTCAGGCTACGGCGAGGCCATCAACGTATGCTCTTGGAACGTCGAGTGTTTCACAGACGAACAGATCCAACAAATTTGCATGTACATGGACAGGAATTCGATCGATGGCACGGTCTTGCAGGGGACCCGGCGGATGAACACAGACACGTCTGAGTTGGAAACGGGGCACAAAGTGCATCTTTCTGGATCCAGTACAGGGGCGCGCGAGTGGGCAAGTGTTGGATTCAACGTTTCTCGTGTCTTCTTCAAGCATGTCGTCGGCTTCTTCCCCGCCGACATCCGCACAGCAAACCTGAAGGTTTTGTCAGCAGAAGGCGTAATCTCCGTTGAGGGCGTGTATGCACCACGCAACTGGTGGCCATGTGGAGACCGCTCCGGTGTTTACGAAGTTCTGGGACAATACTTGGATGACATCAGGATGCGGGGGCACAAGCTCATCATTAGTGACCTCAAAGCCATGCTGGGGAAGCGGAGGCCCGGGGAAGAACAACTATTCGGAGAGTGTTGATTTGTGGGCGGGGAGCACAAATCCCAGTAGAGGTCCCAATTCGCGACTTGTTGATGGAGCCTTCTTCTGTCCGCAACCCCGCTGTGGCGAACACGAACGTGGCAAACGATGTTGACAGACGAGTTACGTTTTACGTGCAACGTTTGTACCCACTGGCAGAGATCTCGGGTGAGAGCTTTGCGCTGGTAGATCTGGTGTTTGCTCCACTTGTGGCTTTGGGCGGCGTTCTGGCCGTGCAGAGCAACAGGCGCATCCCGGGGACGGTCCGAAAAGTTTCGCCGCGAACAGCCATGTAACCTTGCGTTGTTGGAGCAGCCGTACATCAAGAGAGCATTCCTCGATTCTTGAAAAAAAAAAAAAAACACGGCGGTAATGGCGACAACGGCTGGAACAAGGTTCGAGGCAAAGTATTGGATAGCATGGCTTTGTTGCTGGCGGCGCCGCTGACAAGAAACAGGCCGTGGATCAGCGAGAACACCGTGGAACTCATCAGTGAGCGCACAGATTTGCGATCCAGTGCCAATTGGGAGGCGAGAAGGGAATGGCCAAAGAAATCAAAACATCAGCTCGCACAACCTGGGCGTGTTGGCTCCAGAATCTCGCCGCCGACGGGTCGTTCGCTTCGCCGGTTGGGGCGAGGGAAACGCACGCAACAGACGCGACTGCAACGCCACACCGGGGAAGTTGCAAGCGTTGAGGATCGCGCAGGGGCATTCGCTGACTTCTTCGAGCAACCACAATGGAAAGTTCGACACGTCACCTCTTCGCCTGAGTCCTCCGAGCACGCCGAACAGCAGTTAGACATTGTCGAGACCTGCTTCGCGCACCGGGAACTACGGAAGGCCATCTCGCGCACGTCGCCTGGCAAGAGTGTGGAAGTGAACGACATCCCGATTGAGATTTACAAAGTTGTGGCTTCTGCGGATGGTCGATCTTTACAGCAATTTCGGGACGTCATGAACGACTGTTTGAATTCATATACACTACCGGACGACTGAGTGGCAGCGCGGGTGTCCATGGCTTGCATCAAAGAAGGGTCCTTCTTGCATGGAGAACTACAGGCCTATCTGTTTAACGTTTGTTGCTTACCGGTCGTTTGCCAGCATGCTGAATCAAGATTTCCTAGACGGTGGATTGGAGAGCCGTTTCTGGCCATCGCTGTGCGGCTTCCGCCGCGATCGCTGCACAGAAGACGCCATCTTCAAAGCCAGAAGACACCTTGAACTCGCACGCCCACAATTCAACGGGTCGGTATCTTTTCTGGCGCTGGACTGGCGGACAGGTTTTCGACAGCGTGCACACTTACTGCCAGCTGCATGCTTTCGCGCGTTTTGGCATCACGCCCATATGCGTGCGCATCATCCGCTATATCATGATGAGGAGGTGCTTCTTCGTGGAAGATGCTGGCATCAAGTCTGACGAGCGTGTGCAGCGATCGGGGGTATCGCACTGTTGCACATTCCGCCCGTGTTTGATCATCACGCTAATGACACCACTGATGGAGGACGCAGTCGCCATGCTCCCCGGGCCAGCTGCAGAGGCATGTCGTCAGAAACGATTTGCCGATATCGATTTCGCCGAAGACACGCTGCTCCTTGGTGCGGCGGTCGGTCATGCCCAGCAGTTCGCCGAGGCAGTGGCCTGGGCGGGCTGCGCATACAGCCTTGAGTTGCACTTCGTCAAGTTCCAACTAATGCAGGCGAGCTCGTGCAAGCCGGTATGCACCCAGGGGGTTGCCATACCGAGAGAGGACATCATTGTATTTGTCGGTTCTTCTTTGTCGGCAGATGGTAGAATGAGCTCAGATTTTGGTCGAAGAATTGGGGCGGCAACTGCAGACTCCCGGATGCTCCGGCAAGTATGGAAGCATTCTTCTCTGCCGCTCAAGCGGCGCATCCAGGATAATCAGTCTCAGGTCGAGTCCAAGTTGCTGTGCGCGTTGCAAGCAGGGTGTTTCACGAAGGCGGAATTGCGCACATTGGACGGATTCCAAGCCAAGTGTCTCAGACGTGTCCTACACATGCGGCCATCTTTCGTTTCCATAATGTTTAACGCCACCGTCTTGCAGCGCGCGGGTTTCGATACAGCCTTTTGGGCAATTCCGACACAACCAACTGGTTTTATTGGGGCGTGTCCTGCGCCAACCGGAAAGCTCAGACATGCGAGAGATCACGTTCAACTCGGGTCTTTCCGTCCCTCTACCGACAGGTACGTCCGCATAGATGGAACACTTAGGAAATAATGGGTCCGATGCGTGCTGCCCGACGCAATCCGTTTGGCCGGGGACAGCAGCCGGCCCCGAGATGCAGTGAGTGACGCTTCCATGTGGCGCCACAAAGTGCGTCATGCTTGTTTTGATCGTTGGTATGCCAGTATACCAGTATGCACCCCCATGGGCTGCCACAGCCTACGGCACGAACGAACGAGCTATCTAGTGTATATATACACCATATGTTTACATAGGTATGTGTAAATATATAAGGGGTCATAGATATACAGATGTACATTGTGATGGCCTCGACCCTGAAGACGACGTCGGCGCTGACGAGGAAAGGGGGGGGGACTGGAGCAGGAGGAGGAAGCGGAGGACGCGGTGGAGCAGCAAGGGGAGGAGGAGGAGGAGGAGGAGGAGGAGGAGGAGGAGGAGGAGGAGGAGGAGGAGGAGGAGGAGGAGGAGGAGGAAGAAGAAGAGGAGGGGGACAGGGGCAAAGGGAGGACGCGGGCCTCCAGGGAGACTTTTGGGGGCCTCTTGGGAGCGTCTTGCGGGCCTCCAGGCGCTTCCAGGGGGCTTCTTGGGGCCGTTTTGGGGGCCGCTTGGGGCCTCCTGCGAGCTTTTCGGGGGGGGGGGGGCTTGAGATGTCCGTTTGGGTCCTCTGTCTGGGCACTTTCTTGGAGCCGTCTTGGGTGCCTCTCGGCCTGTCTTGGAGGCGTCTCGGGCCGTCTTGGGGCTCTCTGGGGCCATTTTGGGGGCATCTCGGAGAACTTAAGGTCGTCTTGGGGCGATCTTGGGGTCCTTTTGGGCAGTCTTCTAGCGTCGGGAAGCGGAAGGCACGATAATGCCACATTCTGTCACAAACCCAAGGGACTTTTTCGAGTCTTGCCTCTTGGGGCTTTTTTGGGGGTGCTCAAAAAGGCCTCTTGGGGCGCCGTGGAGGCCTTCTGGGCCACCTGGAGGATGTCAAGCCGTCTTGGATAGATCGTTCGGCGATTCGCGACCCTCTTGGACTGTCTCGGGGGCATCTTCGGGCACTCCAGGCTTGAGGCGCTGAAGTGTGCTTACCATGGGGCCTTTAAATTGTTAAGTCATGTGTTGATACCAGAGTTGTGGTGTTGTGTTGATGAGTTGTAAGAAATGTTGTAGGATATGTTGACAAAATGCTGCGTTCCCACACATTCGCGTTTCAGAAAGTTGAAGGAAACGTTGTTGTCCTGAAACGAGTTGCGGGAACTGTTGGCCATGACAGAACGAGTTGGAGAAACTGTTGATGTCAAACGCCGATGAACGCATTGATCTTGAATTGCATTGTTTGGATCGATCTTTAAGACAAACAAGAGGAAAAATAGGAGGAGAACAACCCAAAACTACAGCCCCCAAGCACAACTCCCCAGCACATCC